AGGGTTGATATTTGATTGGTGGCCACCCAGCACAGCAGGGGATTTTGCACAGTCATTTAAATTCCTTACTTATTAAAGCACATGGCAATGGCAATATTCTTTGAATTTGAAGCTACAGTCCTGGCACCACCAATACCCTATATACAAGCACTTAGCAAACTGTAAGGTGCAGTTCAGGCATTTTTTGACTTGAGTGTTATTCTCATAACTTTGGCTGTTCTGACTATGTGCCATTATGAGTTTGCACTCGCTACCACTGTCTGGACATAGATCCTAATTTCTGTCTTTATTTTATGTCATGCTCAGGAAGTGTTGGAAGTGATTTGTATAAATATAAAGTTTATTTGGAAGGCTTAAAGAGGTTTGTGCTGCTTGCCTCGAATAATGCCCGAGTGGTGTTTTTCCAAATCACCACAATGAAGCTGGTCAGTGCAAAGTCAGCATTACTTCAAAGTGGCCACCATTATGAGAACAGGAACCCAAGTTGAAAAATACCAGAATTTCCCTTTAACATATCATGTCATCTTGGAGTTGTACATTATTGTTTAGGAGTGCTATTCTGAAATATTAAACATCAGAGATATAACATCCCAGCGAGCAAAAGTACTATATATTCTGTGTGTTTTTAATACCCTGTCAAGGTTCTTTGAATTACACCGCAGATGACAAATACGTGGATAAACCGCTTTGATAAACACGTCAGATAGAGACTCATTCTGAGATCACAGTATATTTTTCAAGGGCAGAAATGTTATATTGCACTCTCATTTCTGTGTATGTTAGACTCTCTGATACCATATTTTCCATTACAATTTCAATCACCGGAAAGATATCCAATAAATGCCACAAACAAGTAACCAAACACAACGTCAGCAGGGAGCAGGCAGCCCATAGAATAATAACATTGTAATAATAACAACAATACTCACACAGTTGTGCAGGTTCATTGGCATTGGTTAGGGCCATTTTTACATCATAATGTCAATCACCATCTTTGGAATCTGCAACCAGCCAGCTGAGTCAAAGTCAATTTGGAGCACTGCATCAGCGCAGTATCGAGGTCCCCTTGTCAGAAATTTGATCACATAAAATGTTACTTGAAATGTCAAACCCCTGGGAAATCTCATCGATTTGCTGATTTATCCAATCACTGGTTATAAGTAGGAGCAGAACCACACAGAAAATGGACATTTCCAGCCACAATTCTTGGCTACTTTACATTCCCTGATGAAAACTTGAAACGTTTGACATTAGACTTACAGTACGCATGTGGAATTTAAAGTCTGTGGTAACAGTGACCTTCCTGAACTCTTTGGCTTATTGTTGCTAATGGCATCATTCAAATACTTTCACAGTAGCGGTTCTTTATTCTTAACCATGAGCATTCATGTAGGGATTTGCTATTGGAGGCCGTTTTCATTATGTCACTCAAATGTTAACACTATGCAGGTTTTTGGATGGCTTCAAGTGACAATACTGTATGTACACACTCACACACACATACAGCCAAACAAAAACACCTAAGGCCCCTTGTCCACCAAAGTGTTTTTTTCTGACGCCAGCGTCTTTTTTCAATTCATTCCAATGGGAGTGTCTTTTCCGCTCTGAGTGTTTTTTTCCGGTCACCGAGAGTTGAAAAATGTTCAACTTTGTGAAAAACTCTGCGCTCGTCACTTTTTACCCAACCTTCCAATCACAGTGCAGGAGGGGCGGCCAAACACCGCACCGAGCACATCCAACCTAGAACGAAGCGATGTGCCTACTTGTCGAGGTGTGTCCTTGCTCGCAAAATCTCATGAACCCACGAACGGACAGTCTGTGCTCTCATGTTTCAGCCTTCTCTTCATGCAGAGCAAAGGCCGGAGCAAGTAAGCCTACATATTTTGTGGTGACATTTTTACATTCACTGAAATTAAGTAGGCTAGCCTACTTACAACCCATCGCCTCCACGGAAATTATGTATCATAGCAACTACAGCCTCGCGAAAAAAAACACTGCGCCTCCAAAACGCACCCTAGTGCTCCCAGCTAGGTGTTTTCAGAATAGCAGTTGGCGGTTTCTGCTGGTAAACGTCCAAACAGCAAGTAAAATTTGAGTGATGAATGAATGTTGAGGGAATGCTTGACTATTGATGAAACAAGTGTTGAAGGCTTCCCTGGTACACCTGCATCCCAATGGAAAATGGATATTATTATGTTTTAGCATCATTTGTTCTGTAGTATGAAGTGCAAGATAACCCATGCCTTGCACACACACACCAGTACATACACTGAACAAAATTATAAACGCAACACTTTTGTTTTTGCCCCCATTCATCATGAGTTGATCTCAAAGAGCTAAGATTTTCTCTATGTACACAAAAGGCCTATTTCTCCAAATATTGTTCACAAACCTGTCAAAATCTGTGTTATTGAGCACTTCTTCTTTGCCAAGATAATCCATCCACCTCATGAGTGTGGCATATCAAGATGCTGATCACACAGCATGGGTATTGTAACGGTGTGCCTTAGGGTGGCCACAATCAAAGGCCACTTGAAAATGTGCAGTTCCATCACACAGTACAATGCCATAGATGTCGCAAGTTTTGAGGGAGCGTGCAATTGGCATGCTGACTGCAGGAATGTCCACCAGAGCCTTTGCCGTGAATTGAATGTTCATTTCTCTACCATAAGCCGTCTCCAAAGGCGTTTCAGAGAATTTGGCAGTACATCCGACCGGCCTCACAACCGCAGACCACGTGTAACCACACCAGCCCAGAACCTCCACATCCAGCATCTTCACCTCCATGATTGTCTGAGACCAGCCACCCGGACAGCTGCTGCAACAATCAGTTTGCATAACCAAAGAATTTCTGCACAAACTGCCAGGAACATCTCAGGGAAGCTCATCTGCATGCTCGTCGTCCACATCGGGGTCTCAACCTGACTGCAGTTTGTTGTCATAACTGACATGAATGGGCAAATGCTCCCATTCATCTGACACTTTGGAGAGGTGTTCGCTTCACGGATGAATCCCGGTTTTCACTGTACTGTGGGGATTGAGTGGCCCATGGTAGCGGTCGGGTCATGTTATGCTCAGGCGTGTTATGGACAGTGAACACAGGTGCATTTTATTGATGGCATTTTGAATGCACAGAGATACCGTGACGAGATCCTGAGGCCCACTGTTGTGCCATTCATCCACGACCATCACCTCATGTTGCAGCAAATCATTCCGGTTCTTGCATGGCCAGCATACTCACATATCACCCACTGAGCATGTTTGAGATGCTCTGGATCGGAGTATGCGACAGCGTGTTCCAGGTCCTGCCAATATCCAGCAACTTCGCATAGCCATTGAAGAGGAGTGGACCAACATTCCACAGGCCACAATCAACAACCTGATCAACTCTATGCGAAGGAGATGTGTTGCACTGCGTGAGGAAAATGGTCGTCACATCAGATACTGACTGGTTTCCAGATCCCCCCGAACACCCCCAATACAGTGAAACTGTACATTTTCAAGTGGCCTTTTATTGTGGCCAGCCTAAGGCACACCTGTGGAATACCCATGCTGTCTGATCAGCATCTTGATATGCCACACCTGTGAAGTGGGTCGATTATCTCAGCAAAGGAGAAGTGCTCACTTACACAGATTTTGACAGATTTGTGAACAATATTTGAGAGAAATAGGCCTTTTGTGCACATAGAGAAAGTCGTAGATCTTTGAGTTCAGCTCATGATGAATGGGGGCAAAAAAAGAAAGTGTTGTTTATAATTTTGTTCAGTGTAGATTAACAGTGTGAACAACATTTGGCCTACCTCACAAACTTATGGTCAAATTACATCTCCCCACTGAGGCTGGCCATATGGACACACATACAAAACATGTCAGGGTGGGGGCAAAACTCTTTCCTGTGTGAGAGAGAAGAGCTGTATCAGCAGTGACCCGTGTCCACCACCTTCCACATGTACATGTATGTTCTCCTATCCCTGTGGAGACACCTTATTGACATAATGCATTCCCTAGACCCTTACCCTAGTCTTAACCATCACAACTACATGCCTAAGCTCAGCCCTTACCTTAACCCTAACCTTAACCTAATTGTAACCTGAACCTTACAACCAAGGCTTAACCTCAAAAAACAGTCTCTACCAGTGGGACCTCAATTTGTTGTCCCCATGGAGACAGAGTCCCCATCAGTTAGAGTGCATTCAGGTTGAAGTCCCCTCCAGGCTATAAAAACATGAAACACACACACAGGAACACGCACACAGACACGTAGTCTACACACAAGTCGAAGGGCACAAGCCACACAGGTATAATATTTATTTATCTTGACAGACTTAACTTTTAAGCAGATAATATACATACACAGAGTTGGGAAATTTTTTCTCTCCCTTCTCTCTCTGCTCTCCTTTTAAATGTCTACACAGACCCTCTGCAAAAAGATGCCTCTCCGGGCAGATTCGTCCCGTCTATCCAGCGTCCCACCGACGCCCACAACAGCTCTCTCTAACAACTCTCTGTGCAAGCAAAACATATTGATATTCGCCCCACGCACCGAATACTGACACACACACAGCCCCCTTCTCTCTCCCTCTTTTTATTCTCAAACCAACATAGAAAGAGTGTGGATTTGTACACGGGAGAGAGACAGAGAGAGAGAGATGTGCTCTTGGATAGTGTTGCAACAACCCAGAGCTGGGTCCACCGACAATGGCAAACCCCATTTATTGCACCTCAAGACCTTCAGCATCCTAAAGCCACCGGGTCCCCCAACTAGCCCGAATAGCCACTCGGTCACCCGTCCAGTCACCCTGACGTTCATCCAGTCACCCAGCAGATCAGCTTTACCCTTCACCATCAGTCACTCTGCTGCGAATTCACCAGCCACCCAGTGATAACACTCACCCAACAAGCCACCCAGCCATCTATCCATCAATCCACCCACCCAGCGGAGGATCTCAACTCTCTCCCCGCGGGAACAAGAGCGCGCCGCCCGGCTGCGAGCGTCTTACCTTGAGCGCTTCAATATCCAAAGCCGTCGACCGGTCCATGATAGAGTAGTGAAGTACTGCAAATCAGTCAGGAAAATAGAAGTCCCACAGGCGAAGAAGATGAGAGGGAAAGAGATTTAAAACGGGGACCAAAAAGTTGGAATGCTCTCTAGAGTCCCAAACTCTGCTGCAACATCCCCTGGATTATTGTTAGGATTAGGTTATTAATATTCCACCACGGCGACGGATTTTCTCAATTTCACTTCTCCCGGTGGGTCGCTTGGTTAAATCAGGACTCCATACCGTGGAAGTCCCCCCACCTCAGGTCCCCGGTTCCTCCGCGCAGGGGAGTGAGGGAATTGAAAATATATACAAATAGAACAGAATTAGCCGTGCGTAATGTTTCAAGCTGCGGCTTTGCGCACTTGACGATCCTGTACGCCTTTTATGTTGTTCTTACATCTGAGTAAGAAAAAATCCCCCTCACTGCAGGAATGAAGACTCTCCTGCCAGTCGGTCAGCGGATAAATGCCGTTATATCCCGCTGAATCCCACTAAATGTGAGTTTGATGTTGTGTCTGCTCGTGCGGTGCTCGGCAACTGGAGAGAAGGAGTCTGGATCAGACAGATGATATTCTGCCTTGCCTGGGCGACTTCCATGCGGCAAACCGCCAGAGATGTCAGCTCTCCCCGAAAGAAGAAGGAGAGAGAGAGAGAGAGAGAGAGAGAGAGAGAGAGAGAGAGAGAGACCTGGTGGGAGAAATGCTAAAGAGAGGAGATGAGAAGAGCTGCGAGAGTTGAGACTAGAGGAGAGAAGGAAGGAAGGTTTATGCTGTATATTATCCCAATGACTGACGCACCGGTGTGTGTATGTTTGTGTGTGTATGACAGAGAAAGAGAGAGAGGGAGGGAAAGGCTCGTTCTAATCAAGTAGATGAATCGAAATGCTGCTTTGCCACTGAAGACAAGAAAGAAATTTAAATGCAGACGCGCGCGTGCGTGCGCACAAACACAATGTAGAGGCACAAAACTGGTACAGCATGTCTCTATATGAATATTAGAATACAGAAATACAATCATATTGTGACAGTGAGGACAGGAAAATTGATAAATAGATCAGATTTATTTGAATAGGCTGACAAAAACTTCCACTTTCTTTCTTTCTTTCTTTCTTTCTTTCTTATGGTGCAAATTGTCCTAATCCTTCTCCTGCATAATAAGGTGTCGCCGCCTGCCGACCACCAGGACTATTTATTATCTGTCACACACCTTTTGAATAAGGAGCAGAGCACTGGAGAGGAGAGGAGAGGATGTGTGACAAATGAAGGAAATGAGGAAAGAAGACAAATGGAGGAGAGAGAAGAAAAATAGGGGAAAGCAGGGTCATGGAGGAGAGGAAAGGAGTGGAAGAACAGAGATATGGTAAGGTGACAAAAGGTTGGGAGGGTAGAGGCAGCTCTGTGTCATTCCCAGGTCGTCAAATACCAACGCTTTCTCAAAGCCCTCTGCATCTCATACAGACAATCAAGGTACCTTTTTGGGTCAGTATGAGGATCCAGTTGAAGAGCTGTTAATGTATGTAATGTATATCTACAATGTAATTTCTTTGTTAGTGACAAGTTCTGAACCACAATCAGTTTTTATCCAGTTTATGGCAGATCTCTTTGAGGCCAATGGGAGACACCCTCCAAATTCAGACCTCTGTGTGAGAAAACAAACAATATGTTGAATTGCTTTAGAAACAAGTGAAATGTTGGAGGGCATATTTTTATTGACCCTGAGTATGACATTCTTTGTAATCCAAAATGAGATTCCAAAATCACCAACTGTGGTGTACAAATCTGCAGACGTTCGCTATCTTCAGCAGTTGCATTTTACTCAGACATTTTTACTACTGTCCTCCTAACCCATAGAAGTGGATATGATGACTGCAGGCAAGGCAAGACAGGTAGGATATGCTGAATAATGTTCTCTCACAGACTCAGACCTCCCCTGCTAGCCAAGCGGAAAACACCTTGCCATGCTGTAACAAGAAGGGATATGATTATCACTTCACCCAATCACATTCTCCAGAGGATTTAAACCACAACAGTTATCATCCATTTAATAATTTATGTATTGTAAGTCTGCAAAGCTGAATAGTTGTGTTTAGCTGTATCACCAGTTAGCATTTACTTCTGGTATATAACATATAATTAAAAGCTAGTCCAAAACATATGGGTGTGCGTCTGGAAATTAGACTGAAACAGGTTTTGAAGCCAAATCTATACCAGACTGTTCCCTTGGTTTCAACATTGCTTTGTTGATCTACCTTCTCCATGACTCCTCAGAGATGGAGTCATGCTTGGGTGCATGAAAATTTCTGCTGCAACTTCAACGCCTCTATTTCAAGGACCATTTCAAGCCCTTTCAACTTTATATTGTTATGAAGTCCTGCAGGCTTCATGCACAAAAGGCCCGTATTCGATTTAATAGATTTGCCTATGAGAGTAGGCACACACATGCATTCACACATTCGTGCTGTAGTGAGCTCAGATACTTCATGAACACATACACATAGAGTAACACACACACACACACACACACACACACACACACACACACACACACACACACACACACAGCTATAGGGGTGTTGAATAGCACACAGGAGAAAACAGAGGAACATTTGTTGAGGGAGTCGGTCAGAGATAACGAACATCATATTAATGAATGCCTCAGTCATTCTCTCTGTTTGTTTGACTCTCTTCTTTGCTGCTTTTCTTTCTCCCCTCTCTCAATTCATGCCTCTCTCACTTCCCCTCTCCATCCCTCTCACTGTCTCTTTGTTGCTGCTTTGCTTCCAAACTCTCTTTACCCCAAGATCTCTCTCTCTCTCTCCATTTCTCTTTTGATGTTGCTCGCTCTCAACCTCTCTTTCTCTCACTTGCGCTCCTTTGCTATTATCTACTCCTGTGTAACTCAGGGACCCCCCACCACCTCCACCTCCTCACCGCCATCTCCCTTTCTTCTCTGTAAACTTTGTGCTGTCGGGCAATTAATCATTTTTCCAAGGACTTGTTATTTTTTATAAGGGAGCGGCTGATATCGGATACGGGCACCCAGTCCTGTGCCAGCTGGAAATGACATCACCCATCTCTCCCCACCCTCTCTCTCTCCCTCTCCCTCTGCCTCCAACCCATTGCCTTTCCCCTGCATTTTGAAACACGATAAACTGTTTTTCCCTCCTTCGATTCCTGTACAGAATCCCTCTCACCTTCATTCGGTGACTTTATTGCCACAAGACAAAGATAGCTATAATAGCATTATAATAAATGTAATTTCCCTTAAAAAATGCACATGAATTTTTCTCATGTGAAACACCATTTCCCATGGTCTATTTTTAGGCACATGTGCTTTTCACATTTCACAATTGTTCTTCTTTTTCTAGTCATCGCTCCTCCTTAATGACGTTATACTGAAGTCTCTATTCCGACTATGTAGCGTGTAATTTTACCTGCCCCACTAAAAAAGCTTGATGCAGCTGTGCAGTAGCAGCGGCTGACTTTAACAGGCTTCTCTGTCTCCCTCACCGTCCCTCTGCTCTCTCTCTCTCTTACAACACTCTCCTAGGCTGTGATCAGATAGGAGCTTTATTCTTCTGCTCAAATGCAAAGTGCAGCTGTTTGCTTTACTAGCTGGAGAGAGAGCAGAAGCCTATGTGAGGGTCACATTATTATTATTGCCATGCAGCACAAAGTTTGACAGCAGCTTGCAGGGTAGGCTACGGGTTAGCATTAGCTAGCCAATTTCAGATAACATAGGGGATGCATTTGAAAACGGAGACGAGAAACTTAGTGATTGCTTTGCTTGTATAAGGGGGCATGGCGGGAGTTCCAGGTTTCCACAGTAAACTAAAGAATTGCTGACTTTATTCAAGAAGTAATGGCAATTAATGTTAATCAGTAATACTGTTTATCACAGGTCTCTCCACCTACAGCACCATCTTAAAACAGATGTGCCACATGTACGTGATCAAGTGGTGGTCTGATGAATGATAGAAAGGTTTATTTTAATCTGAATTTAGTCGAGTTGGCCCTCTACAAAAAAAATAAAAAATGTTAACATCGTTAATGTCTTCATATTGAAATCTTTCCATGACAACAAAATCCTTAACTATTAATCTATTTTGTGATCAGATGATCAAATGAATCTGCAACAATTTAAAAAACAAAGTCATTTAAGTATTTTTTAATCAAAACTATTTGAATACCAGTATGTCAACTTGAGTTTTGGAAAACAGTGTTGGCCATTTTTAATTATTATCTTATACAGACCAAATACTTAATCAGTTAATTGAAAAAAGAATCTGCAGATTCATTGATAATGTTTTCATCAGATATTCTGTATCTCATCGGGGTTTTTTGTTTTTGTTTTTTATGGTTTCTGTGGTTTTTGTTTCTATGTTTTTCCGTCTGTATTAAAATTTTCTTATACATTGTATTTTACTTTGTTGTATTGTATTACATTTTAGTGTGAAGCACTTTGTGATTTTTATCTGTGAAAGGTGCTATACAAATAAACTTTACTTACTTACTTACGTACTAGTAGTAGCCTGAATAGCTGTCCCCAAGACAAAATGCGACAGATGCAAACTGTGGTACGCTTATTCACTTAGGTGACCTTTCTATTAAAAGGTTCAGGAACTTCAGTTCTACATAATGACCATGCTAGGCATTTCTACAAAATCAGTTCCCAAATCCTGTAACCAAGCCCAGCAAGTCTGGAAATGTTTCCATGACTGAGCCACTGTAGAGTGAATGAACTGTGGTTTAACAAGACTGCAACACGCAGTGATTGTTTCATGGTGCATTGGCTTTAATATTTCAACATGCGTTTCATTTCAGCAGTGTGTGTGTGTGTGTGTGTGTGTGTGTGTGTGTGTGTGTGTGTGTGTGTGTGTGAGAGAGAGAGAGAGAGAGAGAGGAGAGAGAGAGAGAGAAAGAGAGATTTCATGAAACAGTCTTCTTTCATACATAAATAATCACATCATTCAGCCTTTTGGTAACTCATGATTTTTGTGTTATTTATGTGCTTGTCTTATTAATATGCCATTCAGTCTCACCTTAAAAGTATTGTGCTCACTACCATTTAGCAGAAGATTCTAGAGCACTGGATTGTTCCAGCAGGTCATTAGACCTTGCACAAGCCACTTACACATCTATTACTGGTCCATTAACCCCCCCCCCGGACCCACACAAACACACCCCCTTGCTGAAGGGAGCACACACATTCCCATTTTCCATGATTTTCCTCAATGTCCAGTTATATGTTTGTTACAGTTTGTCTGTCATACCTGTTGCTTAACTTACTACCTTACTAACATACATTAGCCTACCTGCATGTTACCCTGCACAGATCAAGTATGATTGTGCATACTGGCTGAGAAGTTCAGAGGGAAACGAATCATTAACTTGTTTTTGTTTGGTTTTTATTTTTATTTTAGATGAGCAGTTCTATCTACCATTTTCAACACTATTTACCTTCTGAAAGTAATATTATGTTGCTAAGATGACTCAATTGAGCCAATAAAGGTTGTACCACCTGAGTAGGCATGCAATCTAAGACAGACAGAAAGCTTTTCTTGCTAGAGAAGGAATGCAGCAACGTTAACTGGATTAGGCACTTCCTCTCCTTTGCCTCTGGGTTGGAGCCAGGGAATTACA